TCGCGGACCCCTCGGGGCCAGTTTATTTGAGTGTACCTTTTTAGAGTAAGTTAGCCTGCGACCACGGGAATCGACCGCGTCGAGTGTTGGATCNTCTAGTATTGTCTTCTCTTTTTCTCTGTTTTCTTTTTTTTTTCTCTCTGTTTCTGTGCCAGATGGTGTTGTCCCTTTGTGCGTTGTGAGGTACCAAGATTGAACCAAGGGGGTGTACCTCGTTCTCTCCGGCCCGTGATGGTGACTCCTTGTCTCAGTTGTTACCTTGTATAGCGCGCAGAGGGAGTGGAGGACTCCAGAATATCTGTCGTTGATTTCTATTGACTCGCGGACCCCTCGGGGCCAGTTTATTTGAGTGTACCTTTTTAGAGTAAGTTAGCCTGCGACCACGGGAATCGACCGCGTCGAGTGTTGGATCGGTACGGACATACGAAGGTACTGGGTAGAGAGAGATATGAGCAAATCTTGCAGTAGTCTATCTGCAATGCTGTGCGATGTGTTCACTGTGTCTGTGAGAGCTATTGTGTATGCCGTGGTGGAAGAGCACGCGTGTGTGTGTTGATCAAGGTTCTATATCGTCTGCATCGGTCCTCTTGGTTGACATAGTCCTCAGACAAACATCATACCGTGGGTGGGCACGGCATCCTCCGTGGGTGTTCACGTGGGTACACTAAAACTCTATTCCCCAGGGTATGCCGTGAGGTTGTGTACAGTCCGCGACCACCGTGTACTCCTCGAAAGCCCCAGCTGCAGATATGTACTGGATGCTCCAGATTGTTGTGTGTGTTGTTGTTAAATGAATACTATCGTGCGTCACGCTCCTACTGCTGTGCATTTTCCTTCACTCCTCAATCATGTACCATAATTACTGTGTCTGATAACTCGTAGACGGTGTGTGCAGCGTACGCGGACAAAGACAAACCGGCGAAGAACGCGAGAGACGAGCGTGCGAAGACCATCAAGAAGACAGGGTTGAGACCTGACCACCACGTCCTCCTTCTTGATGGTCTTCGCACGCTCGTCTCTCGCGTTCTTCGCCGGTTTGTCTTTGTCCGCGTACGCTGCACACACCGTCTACGAGTTATCAGACACAGTAATTATGGTACATGATTGAGGAGTGAAGGAAAATGCACAGCAGTAGGAGCGTGACGCACGATAGTATTCATTTAACAACAACACACACAACAATCTGGAGCATCCAGTACATATCTGCAGCTGGGGCTTTCGAGGAGTACACGGTGGTCGCGGACTGTACACAACCTCACGGCATACCCTGGGGAATAGAGTTTTAGTGTACCCACGTGAACACCCACGGAGGATGCCGTGCCCACCCACGGTATGATGTTTGTCTGAGGACTATGTCAACCAAGAGGACCGATGCAGACGATATAGAACCTTGATCAACACACACACGCGTGCTCTTCCACCACGGCATACACAATAGCTCTCACAGACACAGTGAACACATCGCACAGCATTGCAGATAGACTACTGCAAGATTTGCTCATATCTCTCTCTACCCAGTACCTTCGTATGTCCGTACNGATGCGTGCAGTAGATGCGTCCGCACTCTATTCGCGCCTGCCTGAAAGACTTCATGTTTGTTTTGGTTCTTCGCCAGCGCGTGGCATCAACGGAAAAAAAAATACAAAAGGGCCACCTTACCGTCGGCAAGCACACAAGGCCACTTGCACGCCTGTGGCTTGCGCACTTTGTTAGACGACGAACCATGCAAGATGCTGTGTGGGCGGGGCTCTACATAGTGCGCACCCGCCTAGAGCGCATAGCGTACATCGTTCGAGTCCTCAAGACGATTCGTTTATATTCATATGCATCCCGATTAAACATACATCCCCTCTTTCTGCTGTTTGCTTGTGGCGTGCAGTTTGCGACAACATCCACCTCTTCCTCGACGAGCGCGTATCGCAGCGCAACGTGGTCGCCATCTCGCAGAAATAAGTCCTATCGCGGGTCACCACCGCTCCTGCCGCCGTTGTCGGGGTAAGAGATGCTCCAGATTGTTGTGTGTGATGTTTTTGAACGCCTACTGTCGCGCGTCACCTCCGCTCCTACTGCTGTGCATTTTCCTTCACTCCTCAAGCATGTACCATAATTACTGTGTCTGATAACTCATAGACGGTGTGTGCAGCGTACGCGGACAAAGACAAACCGGCGAAGAACGCGAGAGACGAGCGTGCGAAGACCATCAAGAAGACAGGGTTGAGACCTGACCACCACGTCCTCCTTCTTGATGGTCTTCGCACGCTCGTCTCTCGCGTTCTTCGCCGGTTTGTCTTTGTCCGCGTACGCTGCACACACCGTCTATGAGTTATCAGACACAGTAATTATGGTACATGCTTGAGGAGTGAAGGAAAATGCACAGCAGTAGGAGCGGAGGTGACGCGCGACAGTAGGCGTTCAAAAACATCACACACAACAATCTGGAGCATCTCTTACCCCGACAACGGCGGCAGGAGCGGTGGTGACCCGCGATAGGACTTATTTCTGCGAGATGGCGACCACGTTGCGCTGCGATACGCGCTCGTCGAGGAAGAGGTGGATGTTGTCGCAAACTGCACGCCACAAGCAAACAGCAGAAAGAGGGGATGTATGTTTAATCGGGATGCATATGAATATAAACGAATCGTCTTGAGGACTCGAACGATGTACGCTATGCGCTCTAGGCGGGTGCGCACTATGTAGAGCCCCGCCCACACAGCATCTTGCATGGTTCGTCGTCTAACAAAGTGCGCAAGCCACAGGCGTGCAAGTGGCCTTGTGTGCTTGCCGACGGTAAGGTGGCCCTTTTGTATTTTTTTTTCCGTTGATGCCACGCGCTGGCGAAGAACCAAAACAAACATGAAGTCTTTCAGGCAGGCGCGAATAGAGTGCGGACGCATCTACTGCACGCATCTACTGGGAGGAGGCATGGAGGGCTGTATTTTCCTGTGACGACGAGTAAATCACACCGCCGCAGAGCACCACGGCAGTGTAGACAAGGCATCTTGACAGATAGTGCGGCAGGCTTACAGCAATCCCGCCACACACTCAATCGTCTCAACCCTGGCGAGTTCTCATGGACTTGCAGCACGCACTTCACGTTGTTCCCCGAGCAGCAGCTGAAGCGTTGATGTCAATTTTCACAAGAGAGACTCAGCAGCAGCAACAGCAGCAGGCAGAAAGCTTTGCTTCAATTAACGGTTGTCTTCGAATACAGCAGTGCGGCGTGAGCAACGTGATACGCCCATCCCTGGCAACTATCATGAAAAAGCACCGTAGCAGGTCGACGCTCACGCCCCTCCAAGGTTTCTCTCGATCCGTGGCTATGGGCGTGAGCGGTCGTACCTTGTTTGTTTTCTGTCGAGCAGTCAGTTGGACCCACGCAATAGCACACTACCCTCCAGGTTACACGTGCCGCATGGCTATACCCAGGGCGCCCAGGTCGTGTGGGCTCGGCCCTTGCTGTTTTTGATACTACGTACATTGCTGGCCTCGGATCGTGAACATACCTCCCGGTGGTGGATGGGACGTTTTCCTCTGTCTCTTCTCCTGGTTTGAATCGCGTGCGTGAAATCTCCACTTTGTGTTCTCTCTTTCGCCCGACAACTACCGGGGTTCGTGTGAGGTACCTCCTACGAGTTTCCGGCATAAGCGCCTATGCAGCCAAGCCATCTGTTGTAGGAGCACGACGAAGCCGATGTGACGAAGACTGCGCTATTTTTCTTCCTCTTCAGAAGCCGACGCATCGCCAATCATTGCGCTACTGGTCTTGTTTAGGTCGTACACGAGGGTTTTTAGCTTCCCCATGTTCAAGGGAAGTCGGCAACAAGTGTTGACTACCTTTACCTCGCTTTACGTTTTATGATGTGACAGCATTGCTTCTCACATGAAGCCAACGCATCGCCAATCAGTGCTTTACCGATCTTGTTAAGGTCATACAGGAGGCTATTTATCTTCCCCGAGTTCAAGCGAATTCCTCGACAAGTGTCGACTTCCTTTTCCTCGTTTTACTCCATATTTGTTGTGTTGTATTGTAGCGTCCCCTCTCCAATACAAACGTTGCAGGGTCCACTCACCCAACGCCTACCCCGTACCCTACGGAAACGATCGCCTTTTTGGGTGTGGCAGCGATTATGGGGGCCTTTGCCACACGGAAGACCCGGGATTTTCTCTCCCCGTTGCCGCGCGGTTGCGGCCTAAGACTAATTCGGCCTCTGACGAGTTTTTTTTTTTGTGTTCGTCTTAACGGCAACACTTGATGTGCAAGGGGACGCTCTTGTGTTGTGTTTGCTGTCCGAGAATGCATCGATGCGGGTGCCTTCATCTGAACGCTTTGTGTGTGCGCGCGGCCAAACAATTTCTTCTTCAGATGCAGCTGGCGGGCGAGATCGACCTCTCGTTAGACGTTGATATGTACAACATCGACCTTTTTGGTGAGAGGTAGTGTCCCGAGGAAGTGAGTACGAAGACGACGCAACGTCTCGCTGTCGTCGTTATTCGTCAGTGATTGCAATGGACCTGGTCTCTGTTCCCAAGGGGTGTTTTCTAGTTGCTCCGCGTTCGGACAATACTTTGGCTCCTGGGTAGAGATAGCCGAGAGGAGGCGAACATGAAAACAACACCTCTCCACTGCTGAGCGAGAGAGAGAAAGACCCACAGAGAGAGAGAGAGAGAGAGAGAGAGAGAGAGAGAGAGAGAGAGAGAGAGAGAGAGAGAGAG